GTAATATTTTAATATAACAATTTACTGTTTGTTGTAATAAAATATTATAAAATTATATTACGTAATAAAAAGAGTAATTGAGAATTAGTGCTATAGGCAATATGCAGTTATTTATAAAAAAAAGTTAGTTGTCGTAACAATTAAATTTACATTTCTCTTTAAAAATATATAAATAATACATAAATTTATAAAAATATAGAAAAGTAAATTACTCATGATGAAATAATACGTAAGTTTTGTACATAAATATTTAGAATAATTTTTTATATTACACAAGTTCCGTATCACGCAAACAATACAGAACAACTTACTCACGCATGCTAATTTCATAACAAAGAAATCCTTCAGATATACACATTCGCATTCGCGAACAAAAGGATCGTTTACACGGAAATATTAAAGGATTTTTTCATTGTTGTTTAGGATATCCGTTCTACGGTGGTTACGGTCACTATGGTGGTTATGGTCATGGTTATGGCTACCATGGTTAAAGTGGATACAAAACATGGCCTTCTTCTGGATTTTCTCTGAAATACTGTCTGAAGAGTGAACTCAGTACAAAGATGTCTATGTCGTTTTCTCTCCCTTGTATCTTTTTGTTACCAGGATTGATCCAACGCCACAAAGAATATAACTGTCCACGCTTGTGTTACATTGTACACGCAATCTATCTACGGCAAAATTTTAAGAAAATAAGAACAAAATTCTTTATAAAAAATAAAACTACAGTATTACAAAAAGATATTTATATGTTGTAATGCTATCGGGTATGCTATCATATAGATATAAAATAAATTGTGCGTATTATCAAAAATATTAAATCTTACTAATGTTTTCAGAAATCATATCTTAAAAATATTAAATCTTTATTAATGTTGATTTCAGAAATTTTAAGTAATGATTTATCAGTAATTATATTATTGTCATAACAACTTTAATATTACCGATAAGATAAATGAATAAATTTATAATTCAATATGATAATTTGAAAGAATTCAATTCAATCTGTTTCTTTGAAATGATCTTTTTTCGCTTTTAAAGATAAGAAAGACAATGTCTTTGTCAGTCGAGCAGATCATCTTTCCATATAAACGTTTATGCAAAATGCGACAGGTGTGACCAGTGCAATCATGAAGTTCCGAATGCTCTCAAAGAGGAAGAACACGTATCTTCCTACGCATAGTTATTGAAATCACGCGAGATTTCTACGATACAAAGCTCTTTGTCTTCTTATTATTACAGACCGCAATGGTCACACCTGTATTCTTTCATCTTCTTCTTCTTCTTTTTCTTACGTCACGCTTACGACAGCTGAGAACTGACTGTGTAACATCGCACGCTTTATCGTGCCTGCGGTTGTTCTTTCAATACCTTTGATATTTCGTAGGAAACGTAAATCCATGTCGCGAATCATATTCATATTTTTCGTTCGACGATTCGTATTTCTTCGTAAGAGAATGGTGTTACTAAATATTATAAAATATTTGCGATCTAATCGAAATTTATATTGTGATTCTGTCAACGATTCATAACTTTTATTATTTAACATTAATTAACTATAATAATTTATCCAACTACACTGTGAAATTAAATTATCAATACACAGATAAATCTGATAAATAAAATACAACTAATTGATTTAAATTGAATATGAAATAGATTTTTTGTTGCAGAATCGGCAATTATTTTTTATGCATTTCATACGAAAAGATTGATCAAGTTTGCTTTAAAAGAATAATATTTGTAACAAATGTAGTCTTAATCGCAAATATAAAACTGAATAAATTGACATCAACATTTTAGATCTAATAAAAAATAAATTAAAATACAACTTTATTAAAAAATAATATTCATATTTTTTTAGTTCTTTTTTATTATCGCCTTTTCCAAGAAAATAAATTGAGAGTGCTTTATATAATGTTTAACCAACATGAATTTTTTTATAATAAAAATAGCTGCAGTTCCATTAATAATGTAATATAGTGTACAGTTTGATTAATTTATAATTAATTCTAAAGACAACTGATAAATTCAGGATTCAGATAATAAATGCGTAATGTTGATATTATTCCGGGAATTAAGTGCCAAGCGTTCGTCGAGCGATATTCTAATCGTGGGAAGTGACTTATAACATTCTCCATTCTATCTCAAGGATGTAGTCCGTGAAGATTACCGAATTTCAAGTATAAAAAGCGAAACCTGTTGTCTGGAAGAATGATTTCATTCAATCGTACGTAGGATTGCAAAAATGTCTTTAATTATGTAATCCAAACACATTTTAACAAAAAAAAACTATATGTATATTCTCTTTAATTTTAATAATTATAACTATAAATAATTTTTAATAAATAGTTATGGAATTTCGAATTTCTTACAATAAATTTATCTTACAATATTCGTTAATATTTTTCTTACAATAATTGATATAAATTCAATCAATGAGACATACGCATAATTCATAGAATGACCTTGACAGGTAATTTATGGAGATATGAAGATAAGAAAAACATCTAATATACACGACATAACAATGATTATTATGGGTTAACGCGACCACAAACAGCTTCAATGCCCTCGTGACATTTAAATAATGAAAATTTCGTCCATAAAGCCACAAGTGCAGTATCACTTAGTTCCTCGCATTACCCAAATATTACCAATGAATTATTCCAGAACATTTGCATTTACGGATTCGAAATTTCAAATAATATGGATCGCGTTTTTGGCGAAAAGTTTAATTGTTTATATTCTAACAATAAATTTCTCAAGAATTTTAACAAATAAATAATCATAAGCATAAATAATCATAATTAACAAGAAAAAAATATCTACAGAATAGCTTCCTCTCATGTTATCTTGCATGTTTACAAAAGAATGTAAATAGTTCTGATGCATCAGTCGAAAGAAATGAGAGCTCGATCAAGGATATGAATTTAATGAATCACCAATTTAATCGATAAATCATCATATTGATAAATAAAAAGGTCACATTTCGAAATGAGATTCTTAGACAGAATTTTAAGAAAGTCAGTTATATCTGGTAATAATATAATGTATAGAGAATTTTCAGGTTCAATCGATAAATTAATGAATAAAGAATAATGCCATAATAATAAAATATATTTCAAAATTTTTAATTTAACTTTTATTTGCTTATTTTATCATGATTGCGCAATAATATATCATACTTTTAGCTAACATTGTAATTGCAGACACTTTTATACTCTTATTATACACGATGTTAATATCTAATGACCAAATCGCTTTCTCATCAACATGCTCATATTGCTTTCCGAAGCACAACAGAATTAATAAGTTTCCAAGGAATAATAATGCGGATCTCTCGACTGCAATTCTTCAGCGAGAGATTCTGAAGAAAAATCTGAAATTTAACAACACGTAAACGAAATGCTACTGCCGCGAGCATTTCTAATAAATTAAGAAATATCATGCGAAATATTCTACAATTTGCGATATAGTTAATACATTAATTAATGAAGTGCCAAATGCAGCAAAAATTTGTTACTTCATAATTCTTATCATACGTTTCAGCAATAATAATAGAAGCTGTCGATGAGGGTAGTGCCGTTAAAGTTTTTTTCTCAAATATATAAATTCTTTTCTTTTGCCAGTATAAGGTTTAATTATTTAACGTCATAATTATTATATAACAAAAATGTCTTATTTGGAGTGCGTAAAGTTCAAGGAAATTAAGTTTCATAATAGTTTTAGGCAGACTAGAAAAAGTATTTAATATCATTCTGTTATAAGGATTAATTAATTTACGATATGACTATACACATAATTAAAGTTTCTTTTTAGTTTCTTCGGACATCTAAAAAAAATGCATCGGTAACGAACTGGCCACGTCCTTCGGAATTTCCGAATTTCAATAGCTTGAAGAATGTGGAATGTAGTATATAAAACTATTTAAATGTAAATTTAAATGCATGGTAATTGTTTAAATACGTATTCGATATCTCAATTTCTCTATTTCTATTATATTTACATTCTTTTAATATTCTTCAAATAATTTATAATACATATACAAATTTCTCTTGTTTTTATTTTATTTTATTTTTTTATATAAATTGATCTGTAAGAATAAGAATTAATGCGTCGAAGAATATAACGGCATCTTCGAATTTTTATGCTCCTCAGAGATGCAATTGAGGATCGCTTTTAATCAAGATACGAGATGTCTATGTTCATCATGGATGTGTTAATAGAAATCAAATTCTTAGAAACTCGTGAAATTTACGTTTCTAAAATACGATCTTACCATGAAATTATGAAATTTATAGTTCGAGGACGAGAAGAAAAATAAATTATTCTAATCCTCAAGGTCGCCAGCTAATCTTAATACGAAGATGTAGAGTATACAATAAATCTTGAGAGTGATAAGATCCATTAATAACATCTTTTTCCGAAGATAACATTTCACATTAGATTTTTTTTTTGTAAATGAAGTGATGTAGATGAAGTTGACAAATTTATTATTATAAGTGCTAAAAATTCTTTTTAGAAATTATTCGTCTTTTCGAGCGGAGTGTAACTTGATCACAGTGAAGCATAAAATTATCATAAATTTGCAAAAATTTTAATTTTCGATGAAATTATTATTTTTAATAAGTAATATCACACACACACACACACACACACACACACACACACACACACACACACACACACACACACACACACACACACACACACACATACGCATACGCACGCACGCACGCAATTGGTTTGTGATTTTATTGGTTTGTGAAACGTGTTTTTTAGAAACCAATTTTCCTATTCTATCGAGAGTATACATATATCCCTTTAACGGCTTATCTGCAGAACGTGACGAACGAAGGTCGCGCGGGCAACGATCACGACCTTTTCTGCGTTTGTGTCAAGCCCCTTCATTCAGTGAAAAACTGAATACTAAGCGAAAGGTTAACCTTACGAGAAGCAAACTTCATTCATAATAATTACAATGTCCCCGGAATTATCTACCGTACGCTGTTAAATAGAGAAGCATACAAAAGTGCGAATATAAGAGCGTCGATTAGGAAGAACGTTTCAATTAGTTAACAAGAATCAGCCTTAAATGATTAGCAGCGGTAATATAAGATTACACCGACATAATTTTAACCTTTGTACAATTACATACATAAAACGTCGAATATAGTAAGAATTAAGGAGAAAAACGCATGATCTGTAAAATTTACTAAATTTAGATGTAAATATATTTTTTTTTAATTTTTATTTTATATATTTAATTATAATTATTCTAACGAATTTCGATTCGCAGTTTTGATTCGGGAAAATTTATAAATGAAAATCTTTTTCCCACGACTATCAATACCCACACCTCTGAAATCATCGCGCGTGGCGAGTTAACTCGCAATCGAAGAAATTTCTCACGCCGCCGAATGGAGGATGCAATCTTTTTTATTCGCGATCGTATTTAGCTCATCTACATTAAAAATTCATTAAGTTTTATAACCACTCATTTAATATATCTAACGTGATTTATATTTCAAATAAAATTAATCTTTTAAATAATAATGAAGTTTCAATAAAGACAATGTTGCGAACGAGCAAAAATATATGATGTATTTGTTGTAACTAAAGCTTTATAGAGATATAAAATAATATAAAATATATATAAAATAAATATAAAGATATAAAATAAATATAAAGATAGTAAAAATAAGAAAATTTACAAAAATCAATAGATAATTACTTTCATAATATTTTGCTTCATAATATTATGCTTATAATTTGCTCTATAAGCATGTTTTATTTAATGCAGAATTTGAAAAAACAAGCTTTTTTACGAAGATTATTCTGATGATAAATCTGGTGGCGTGACACGCCGGATGTTTATCTGCTTTTTATTAACGTAACGATTTGCCAACGTTGCAAATCGTTATAAGTTAAAGAAAAAAGAACTAACAGAGTTGAGAGATGCCATCTCCATCGCCAAGATAATTGCATCTTTACGTAATTAGGAATGTAACATTTTGCGAAAATTAAACAACTTGGAAGACTTTTTTTTGTCAATTGTACAATATATTTGCTGCTATATACAATAGGTATAGTACATAATTATTATTAAGTATATAAGTGATCAGAAATAATTAATTTATAATATACAAAAATTTGAGTGGACTATTTGGGACGCATTCCAAATGATCCATTCATTACTATATGAATGGATTGAGACTAGTATATTTACATTGTATATATGTGTGTGTGTGTGTGTGTGTGTGTGTGTGTGTGTGTGTGTGTACAATATATAATAGAAGAAATCTTAGTATAATCACTAGATTATCATTAAGTATCTTAGATCTTAGTATAATATAAAAAAAACAATTTATTATATTTTGAATCAATTATTTTTTGCAAAAATGAATTGTTTAACGACTGAATCATTTATAATTTTCTGCTATCTCAGATGACTATCCTTGAAACAAATGCAAAGAGCGTACAGATTGAAAATTTCTCTACACGAGTACTATTCCCGTTAACAAATAACTCAAGTATTTATTCTAAGTACTTGCGCCACTGGCACTAAACTTTTATTGGATCTTAGCTGGTGCATCGCCACGCGTAAATGCAAGCTCGCGTAATGTTTGCCCCGCTGATGATCGTTCAAGCATCATTGTGTCTAAGCATTTCTAGCCCGATGACGAGTTTACATGACTCAAGAAGAAACATTAATGGGTCTCTTCCTTGCGCAATGAAAAGTCTGTTGGCTTTTTTCGCCACTTTTTCCCCGCATAAATGAAAAGTCGTCGTCGTGTGAAACATGCATCTTGCATTCAGGTGCACGCCACACGTGATTTATCACATAAGATTAAATAAAATTATGTTAATAGTATGAACAAATTATGTTAATGAATATAAACAAATTAAATTGTTGTAATTGAAAGTTTTTACATTTACAACATTTTCAAAATATTAGGAAACTACACACATTAAGTAACATATTTCTTATTTAAGTAGTTATTTTATTATAGAAATTGAAAAATAGATGTAAAATAAAAAAGAAATATTTGAGAAAAGAAAGGAGTGAACTTTCGGTATTTTAAATTTAAGATGATTAAAAGTAAAAAATAAATATATGTACATATTTTTAACTGAAACAGTTTTTTACTAAAATTTCACATAAATATTTTTAATGATACGAAAGATGTCGAGCCAGTATTTCACACTAACAATAAGTATAATGCAACATATCATTAGTTTATGATGTCAATGGCGGTCACCATTCGATTGCATAAGGCTTTTAAGTTTGATTCTTTAATAGAGAAAATTAAGACGTTGATGTATCAGAAGAAGAAATTCAAGCGAGTGATAGCAGAGAAAAGAAATGACTAGAGGATGCCTTCTCGCTCAGTTCAAAACACAAAATTAGGTAAGCATGTGTAAAACACCAAATAAAAAACTCAGATTATCATATCTACATTACTTGATTTTCAAGACAATATTAAAACCCTCCAAATAGCACATAACTTATGTGATGTATATTAATTAATTGTATAAAAGAATTGATATCACTAACTAGCGATAAGTTAAATTCCATAAATTAATAAAATTATCTAATATTAAATAATTTTTAGGCCATAACTAAAAGCAGTTACAAGTTACAGTCTTAATGGGATTTTACGAGAAATACCTTTACAATGAGAGAAATTAGCAGATGAATATCAAAATTTTACCGACAGCTTTCGACGATCGTAAATTGATTAGTCTTACATCACGCGCAGTCTATAATACTCTTGCGCAATACTAAAATGTCAACAATATCAAAATTCACAAATTGTAAATACGGTCCAGTGAAATGTAAACCCTCATCGCCCTCGCTTTATGACGACAATTAAATTTGCTCGGATGTATACACCGGCTCCTACATTACGTTATATTAGCCAGAATCAATAGAGATCTTTAACAGACATACGCACGGTAGACATTTACGATAGCAAAGTATGTTACAATGTTTCCAGACCATCCACCTATCACTTACTGTCATGGCGGTATTTATCGCCACTTTGAATTACACTCTTAGACCTCAAAAACGTGCAAAAAAGCATATTGCATAATGGAATCGTGAAGTTTATCGTCGCGTTAGCTGTGGCATGTAATTATTGAAGTGCCTATACAATCACTGTTTAATATTACAGCGAAGCAGATATACATAACGAGACTTGATCCCATTGACATTTAGAAGATGCGTACGTTAACTCTATTTTGATCACGGTGCGGAAGTTTCAGCGTCCTTGTCTTTCCCTTGTCTTTCTGTAGAGAAGGATACAAAGAAAGAAGAGATGGAAATGTTGTAATCGATTATGTAGTTCGATCAAATATAACTTGATTTATTTTGATTTATTATTTTTACTATTTTTATTATTTAATAATAGATTTGTATTAGTAACATTCTAGGCAACAAATTTTAATGATAATCTTTCAATCAAGTGTATGTGTGTAAGAAGATTACTTAAATATAATATTGTGTCACATTATTACATTTGTGATTACTATTACTATTGTGATGATCAGATTAATGTAAAAAATTAATACTATTGATTATAAATTTAAATGTTGTTAATTAAATTTTATTATTTTAATATATCACTTAAAATTGCACACAAAGAGGCTTCATATTTACAATCATATTTATTTTCATATATTCCAAAAGATATTTAAATTATAGCTATGTATTACATACTACAACTAAATATAACTTGCATAAATTAAAAGCAGAGTTTCTAAAAATTCAAGAGAATATGATGGAATTTTTGAAAAGCACATCCTTTTTTAGGGTGAAAACCTCTACAAGGAACATTTACTATTTGTTGACAAACAAAATGTTAATCAAAATTTATTGTTCAGTGTTATCAAACTAGCACTTTTTCACATACACGACTGTTTTGCATTTTCTATCAGAATAAGGACATCGTACAGCTCGTTTTGGCAGTAAATATTGCCATCACTTGCTGCCACTAATTTGCATTTTTTTTTAATGCTTATGAAGAAATGTATCAATAATTGGCGACGCAAATGTGATATCGGCATTCCTTTTTTTGATCACACACATCCTTGAGTCTCTCGAAATCACCTCCGGACGTTCGCCAACACATTCTTAGATCAGGGACGAATACGGAGTCCTTCGGTTATTGTATCCATCGTTCGTTCTATCAGACCTTTGGAATATCGCGGATGATTCTGTCTTTCTCATGGGATGCTCACTCTCACTTTCTCTCTCTCTCTCTCTCCCTCTCTCTCTCTCTCTCTCTCTCTCTCTCCCCTTGTTTTTCTACCCCTCTATCTTTCTCTGGCTCTTCCTCTCCCTCTACCTTTCCAGTCCAACCCCCACCTGTGTATGTGCGTGGAAGTAGAAGAATTACAGCATCCTCCCGCGGACATCTCATGCTTAGCAATAATCATCATGAACCGAACGTTCTGTCCTCCCCACCAGCCAATCAGGTAAATCCTATAAATGCTCTTGGTCGTCCGCAAACGAAGAAGTCACCTCCCGGGACGCTCGCGCTCTCCCGAGTGAGGTATGTGTCCGTTTTGAAGTGTCCGTTTTGTTTTGGTCATCTTCATCGGTGATCAGCCCAGCGATCTAGCCATGGTAAGTAACAGTGCATCACAAATCGTGGACGTAAAAGTGATGTGAGAGAAAATAGGCACGAACGGGGAAGGGTGGTGATTCGACGCGCGAAGGGGTTGCGGGTTCGTTTCTTATCGGCGAGTGTTCCGGAGAAGTGAGATACAGTGAAGAAATCTGGTGGAAGATTATAACTGCTATTCGAGAATAGAGATTGAAAAATTAAACTTTACATGGTACCCTTTACTATTCATCTTTCAATCCAATGATCATGCGCTATCCAGAAGTTTTTAAAAATTCTTATGTTCTCGTGCAAAACATTGCGGTAATATTGCATCTCGTGACAGATGAAAATGCAAAAATAAAAGTAATAATTTCATTGCCATATTTAAATATTTAAAAAAGTTATAAGAAATTAAAATTTGTAAAAAAAATAGCAACTGCCAATCATAAATGTATATACAAGTTTAATGAGAAAATGTGTAATAACATTCTAAATTTTCACGTAATGAGCGAAATTCTTTCTTTTACTTTTTGTATAAAATTCCTAAATTTTTAATTCTATTTATTAAATATTTGATATATAATATTTTTTATATTAATTAAATTTTAAACTAAATATTTCCCTTAATGTAAAATTATTTTTTTGTTTTATAAGATTTAATTGAAAGTTTTATTTTGGATATTGTTAGCTTTTAATATTAAACTTTTTCACAGAAAAAAATAAAGAATTTTGTAAAATATTATTGAGTATTGTTATATATGTCTTTTTATGAGACATTCTGTATATATTTCAGTTCTACAGTTAAGTTTCCTTTTTTGTCGTGCTGCGATAACGTAAAAAATTCGCCGTAGAAAGTATCGAGCTCAGCAACAGCAAAGATGCAATGATGATAATTTATTCCGCATGTACTCTCGTGACAATGGCGAGAACATCCAGTTGTCTTGGCGCCTTCGATTTTCGACTCTTACGAACGTTACATTCGTTACGTGCACTTTCCTTTCTGTAAAAGAACGTTTTCGTCGATGAGCCTGTCGTTTGGTATTTACACATAAACTCAGTCTTCTCGCGGGAATATAGTTAAACAGCTGTTGCGGCAGGTTGCAAATGTCAAGAGTTATTGTTCTTTAATTTAAAATCCGTTTTGTCCGACATATTTTTTACAATTCTTAATTTTTTCAAATTCTGATGTAATGAAGTTATCGCGCAAATAATAGAGAGGAATCTAAACAAGAATGCAGAAGGCAGACTAAAAGTTTTGTCTAATAAAATAGATTGTAATATTTTTTTGAAAATTCAGAAGTTTTATTATTAAATTAAAAAAAAATGATAAAGTTAAATTTTGAAACACTATTTAAATTTTAGCGTTAATTAAATATTGTTAGTTGAACTCTTGTATATGAATTCTTGTATAAAAAATTTGAAAGTTCGACTATACACATATATACATACTGGAAAGAGAATTCTGATAAAAAATAAACAAGTCAATTTTCTGTTTAAATCCATTAGAATTTCAATTGAGATAACCAGTCCAATTGTGATGACCTGCAGAATTCCGGCTGATACGATCAAAAGTTTGTTTATTCTCAACTAGAAATTTTACTCAGTGCAATTAAAAATTTTATTCAGTGCAAAGAAAATGTTTCTGTGGAAATGTTTCTCAAGTATATTTTAAAAGTATAAGGTTTATTTAGAAGTTCATTAAGTACAAATCTTACATTCTCTTTGCGTGAAACAATCTTAATATATGAAATTTCTAAAGAAACACCATTCACCTAATCCGCCAACTTGTTCACATTTATTAACACAGAAATCATTTTAGATTATTATCTCCTCGATATGCTTCATGATTACTAAAAACATTCTAAAATAAAAAATGTTATTATTTTAACTTTTTCTCTTACAAGATATATAAAGTCACAAACTAGTAAATTGAGTTAGATGTATTGGAAAAAAAGTTTGGTTGCATTGATTAAAAATAGACAAATCAGAATTTTTGGTTTGAAATTTATTGTAACTTATATATAATTTATATATAATTGTAGTTGAGATAATCAGAATTTTAATTGATATAATCAGAATCTTCTATTCATTCATTTTTAACCAAAAATTTTTCTCAGTATAATCGAAAGATAATTTATCAGCAATTTATATAATGTTTATATTTCTTCGAATTCCATCAATCGAATTAGAAATGTATCATTCTTGCTTAATATGCACTCTGGGAAAAATTTCTGGTCCGAACGAACCAGAAGATTCTGCATATTATAATGAGAATTCTAATTATTTTAACTAGCGTATTATAATAGATTCAATAAAAAAGATTCTGATTATTTATTTTTAATCAATTAATGCAATCAGATTTTTTTCCAATATGTGGATTAAAATGGGAACGATCATGTAACGAAATCAATTTTCGTCCGATAAAGGTCAGTCGCGCAGTTTCTTCGCATAAAAAGTCACACGCCATCAAACTGCTCGGTTCGTGTGCCATTAGAGATCTCGAGGGTTTCATGACGTAATACAATCGCGTTCTTCTTCGGCGTTAAATAAGGCACAGTTACGATATCTACACCAGTCTCTCACTGGTTCACGGCTTAGCGCGTATTATGCAAATTAGGTGAATCCGAACAAAGTACGGAAGATACTTGAATCGACGGTAGTTCTTTGGCGGTTTTAATCGCTTTCATTTGCTGACTCTCACTTTTTTCATTCATTTCTTGTTTCTGCTTCAGAATGTAATGTTCTAACATATTTTTACGCTCGTACTTGAAAAACGATAATTAAATAAATCGCCATTATTATAATTTCACATTGATAGAAAAAAATTGTTGCAATATTGTAAATTATCATAATTTATGTATAATTTATATCTCTTTTAACTATAATTGATATTCATAATTATTTTCCTTATATATTCTTTGATAGAATAATTATAATAAAAGTATTACTAATATTTACATTAATAATGATTGTAAAATAGAATTTTTAATGCTCGCGTAATTATTTTACCATATGACTATAATCTCACAAATGCCAAACATTTTTATTTCAATGCAAATTCTATAACTTGTATATAATATTAATAATTTTCTATTATAATATGTGTACAACATAATACTCTACGAAATCTCTTAGTAATCAAGCCTTCATGATATAATCTGTTGATTAAATAAAGTCTATATGTTAACGAATATCAACAAGTAGCAAGATTAGCGAAATTGTCGTGCAATAGTTTAGCACGACGCGATGCGATAATTGAAATTCTTGCTCAAGTCAACCGAGGGTTAAAGATCGGCGCAGATTAAAACTTGCATAACTCTACACATACGTATAATTAATTAGTGTCATCGTTTTGTTGTGAATAAATTTTGATATTGTTATATACAAAAATCATATGATTGACGATGTAATTTTTAAATTATATTTATGCTATTTATATATAGAAATTATGAATGAAAAATACAGATACGTGCGTAATAAGATAAACTTTACATCATTGTCATCAATCACAAGTCTGCATGCGATGCAAAAATATTACATTTATCTACAATATTCCTCAGCATTTAACATACAAGATAATAAAAACATGTATTCGATCATTAACTGGAAAGCTACGCGAGTCTCACGTGAAAGATTTTCGCATTGTAAGAAATATTACGATATTTTCGGATTAATATATTATCTGAATGACTACATAAACATTTTCAATGTTTTCTAATTAAATAAATATCTTTTAATTGTTCAGATTATTAATTAAATATAAATATATGATAAAAGAAAAAATATTAAAATACAAATTAATAAAACTACAGCTTAATTGTCATAACAAAATACATTAATTACTGATTGGTATAACATAATTAAAAAAATTAAATCTATTACATTGTATGTATAAATTAAAGAATTGGAGAACAATATATAAATAATGTTTACTTATACAAATATTTGAATTGTAATTTACGAACAACCGATTATGATATTAATTGCTCATTTTGTAACGCAATCGTAACTTTCACTGATTTATTCCGTTACCTCGGCTGAATGTCAATGACTGCGCATCGTTAGCGATCGCAAAAATGTCGTAATTACTGCCGAAGCATGTGCTCGGCATGTATTACGCAAACAGATATTTCACCGCAAGAAGATTTTTTTCTTCTAAATCTCCAGATTATCGTCCATTGACGGAATGATGAATGGTCCTGTTGACGATTCGTCACGTTCGAAGATTCGGTATCTTCATGTTTTACTTCGTTTAATCGTCATAATTGCCATCACAAAACGATTTGCTGAAATATTAGAGTTGATATATGTTACGAGCAAAGAATGAACATAATAAAGACGTAGATATTTTTTCATGAAAAGAATGGCTTTGCTGAAGTATTTAAAGATTTAGATAGATACATCTAAAAATAATTTCTGACTATCAAAATAATTATGTAGCTCAAAATGAAGTATCAAAATTTTTTACATCATTGTTCAGCAATTGTTCAGCAAAGATTGTTATTTAAATAAATAAATTTTGATGATTTAACAAAATTATTTTCAGATTCGTATCTTGCTAATTTTTAGACATTTCAGCAAAATTGTTCTTTCGATATACTTATAAAATTATAATTGTTTTTTATGAATGTTTTTTACATTTGTAAAATTGATTTTGCATCTATTTCTAGTAAAATAAAAATTATTTTTAAACACTTTTTAAAAAAATTAATTACTCTGTGAAACATTAAATATTAAGACAAGATTTGTAAATTTTTGTTGCAATTGTAGTATTAATAGCATGTTACAAATAACCTTTAAATCAATATCAATTATATATAGTATAGGTAAGTCATAAATTGTGAAAATAATCGTTTCGGTAAACGAATTGCTAATACGAATTAATTAAGTGGAACTCGTGATGAATTATGACAATTTTGAAATTAATTCGAAACAGTCATATTTATGCTTCGTCGTCGTATCTTGACATTAAATAATGTGTTAACATAGAAATGTTGACATTATTTTAATAATCCACGAA